ACACTATCATTACTGGTAAGTCATGCATAGGCCACATGGCAATACACAGATTAATAAAAAAGGGTTAATTTAAATGTAAGAGTTAGCTAGTTATGAGCCTGAGTCATTGGCCACACTAAGCCTCCGATTGAGTATTTTATAAGTGGCTATGAGATCAGGTGGGATGCAAAAAAGCCTCTGGCTACATTTGGCACCAAATGTGGGAATCTCAAATTTCCATATGGCTTAAGAAAGCTTTTAAAAGAATTCTAACCACACACAAGCAGAGCCAAAACCAACTTTCTAGTTGTGTCTCTCATTCAAGCTGTGGTAGAAAGACTGTGACAAATTCCCACCATGGTAAACAGAGGCATCGCCAAGCCTTGCAGCAGGCTGTGTGACATAGCTAGCTTTCACTTATACAAACAAAAAAGGTTTGTGGGGCTGGCTGCACTCTACCTGGTGGCAGCATGAACCCCAGTGTGTGTGTGTGTGTGTGGGGGTGGATAAGCATGACTCCCTTTGGTACCTCCATCATGTTGGGAAGCTGAAAAGGGCAGAGCCAGCAGCCAAAGCCACTCTTTGGTCCTAGCCATGCCCATTTAGCAGTTTAAAATAGTGATTAAAAAAAAAAAAAGATTACAGATATACAATAAAGGCAGTTTCAGACCAAAACCCCCTCTAAACAGATCACAGTGTGTTTAAAAAAATGTACATAGGCTTGAGGAGGATGGGGGGTGGGACAGAAACAGTCATAGATTAAAAGAATAATTTAAAGATAATAGAATGAGGTCCTTGAAATAGGAATAATGAAAAATTACAATAAGCCACATAAAGATGGAAAATACACAGAATCTGGATTTTGTATATTTTTGTATTTTCTTCTAATTTTTGACTGTTAATGAGCTAACTGATGAGAGACACTTGATTGTGAGGACTATTAAGTTAAATCAACACATTTTTAAAAGATATCTTGACTTCAAAATTTGGGTTTAAGGATACGTTGCTTTGGAAAAGAGATTCTGCTTTTGTTTTCACAGATGATGAGAACCTGTGGATTGCTTCTAGGTTAATATGGTTTGATTGAGCCAGACCCCCTGAAAGATCTCCGATTGAAACAATGGTCCATGTGATTCAACATCCACAACAGCTTCAAGGCTGAGATGGACCAACCTGTACCATAAATTCTAACTGGTCTTAATAATAAAAACCTGGAGTCAGATATCTGGGTAAATGCTGAAAGATCAGAGAAGTAAAGGAGCCAGCCACTAGAGAGACCTTTTATCTCTACCAAATCATCAGACCAAAGTGGACAAGAGCCTTTCTCCATGAATCCTCAAACTAAATGCTGAGTTCCTCTTTCCTTCTTCCTTATACCCCTCTTCCTACCCAGCCATATCACTTCCCATCTCCACCTCCCTAGTGCTAGGATCAAAGGGGTGAGTTCTGTTTCTCTTTGAGACTGGATCAATCTAGTGTAGCCCAGGGTGGCCTTGAACTCACGGAGATCTGTGCCTCTGTCTCCCAACTGCTGGTATTAAAGGTATGTACCACCACTGCCTAGCCTCTATGGGTAACTAGTGTGGCTAGCTCTGTACTCTGATCTTCAGACAAGCTTTATTTGTTAGATCACAAACAAAATAGAGCCACACCAACCACATAAAGTACCCCAGTCAGGACTTCACCATAATTCTAAATTTTCTCAGGATCCCCATAAGATTACCAATGCCCCCAATCAACAGGAAGTAGTATAGAAAACTACAACCAAATTCCCAAAATATTATTTATGAATGTTTATTTTCATTCAAGGGGGTTGGTTATAAATTATTAATGATCATAGTAAATTTCTTTCTAAAGAAAAAAAGGGGAATATAATATAGACATGATGAGAAAATGGTAGTTTATTGAATCTACTTTAAATCTATTTTAATCCAAAAAGTAACCATTAATCTCAAAATACTTTACATCGGTATAGATTTTGGTTTATTGACACAAAATTAAGGTCAATTTTGTTATACTGTATGTATTTCTACTCTTGGTTAAAGTATTATGTTCATGCAGCTCATTTAAAAGTGTAATGATAGTTAAGAAATATAAGTTAATAGTCATCTATAATAGTCAAAGTTAGTTAGGTTTTCTAGCTATGCAGAGATATATTTCAGATGGATAGATAATCTTCAAAACTTCAAAGACCTACAGAATATGGCATTTAAAATGTTTTAAGAACTTTGACTTTTCTCGAAAGCGAGACACATCTGCTCCTGGAAGCACCAATTACTTCAAGAGGATGATGGGCATTAAAGAAGCTCCTTATGGAGTTTGCCATCAATGTAGCAAGACTAGCCATTTGGGCAAGAAACTGCTCTTGCCTGGACTGCTTGACTGTATGCTGTACAAACTGGACATTCAGGACCCACAGGAAAGTGACAAAACAAGGGTAGTCTCTCAGGGTTCCTGCGTCACTGAGAAATCTGTCACACACTCTGGGCCAATAGGCTGAAGACGGATGCCCCAAAATTACAGCACAACTTTGGGTGACTACTGTCAAGGCAGCCAGGTATCTCTGTCATTTCTAGAGTTTTGGAAATTCCTTACAATGCACTTCCTGTTTACTTAGGTAATATATCCTTTAGGAGTCTTTGATGGGGTTGAAGACTAGATAGTTACAATTTAGTTTTCCTTAGTTATGATAAAAGAGAAATTAGATATGAAACTTTAGACTCACAAAGATAGAATAGATGATAGTATTTTCTTTATTGTTGCCAAATACAAATAGACATTAAAACTCTAATTCTTGCTTGATACCTGTTTTGTTATATGTAACAATGTTAAAGTTAAACCTTCTTTTTTTATTAGAAAAGGGGAAATGATATGAGATGTTCTTCTGTACGCTCCAAATATTTGTTGCTTTTATTGGTTGATGTTTTATTGGAAGCTGTTTTGGCCTATGGCAGGGCAGAATATAGCTAGGTGGGAAATCCAAGCAAAGATACAGGAAGAAAGAGGCAGAGTATGCAGAGATGCCAGAAGCTGCCAGAGGAGTAAGATTTCAGAACAATATTGGTAAACCACAGGCCACGTGGCAATACACAGATTAATAGTAATGGATTGATTTAAATGTAAGAGTTAGCTAGTAATAAACCTGAGCCATTGGCCAAACAATTATAATTAATATTAAGCCTTTGAGTGATTATTTTATAAACAACTGTGAGACTGGGCAGGATGCAAAAAAGCCTCTAGCTACAGACCTCTTGTTTCCATCATGCTCTTTGCTTTCTGGTCTACCATGATGTCAGCAGTCCCTACCACAAGCTCCCTGTTAAGAATTGAACCGATGCACATGCCCTCCCCACCACAATGCAATGAAATTCTCTGAAACCATGGTCCAAAATGCATTTGTCTTCCCTTAGGTCATTTCTGTCTGGCATTTTGTTACAACAAAGCAAAGGTGACTAAGACCACTTTTAGGGTACAGTTGCTCAACAGTCCTTCTCAAAGGCGAAGAGAAAAAGTTGTCCCTCTTTTCATGAAAGGAATCACTGTCACACATTATTCCCAGTGGCTCCTGTTGAAACATTCTTCTCATTTACATGTGAAAGAAAAAGTAACTTCAAGCAAAGAGTTTGGAGAGGGTTTCAGAATCCCAGTGTCTCCCGTGAAGTTTTTATTATAGTCATGGAAGGGGTTGCAAAGGTAGGTTTATGAGAACCCAGTTAACTGGGGTTTTTGAGGAAGTCTTCTTTTTTTATTTTTAATGGGTTCTGACTATAAATGTTAAGGTAATAAGACTTCTCATATAAACTATAATTTCCACTCAAAGCATGCTTATGAAGAAGTACTTTGTTATTTAGGGTACAGAGCGACACAATGGGGTGCTATAGATTCTGTGACTGTTTTATTATTTCAGTTTAGAGACGGCTTTAATGAGTTAGCACATATACAATGGAAAGCAAATACCAAGCCACAGGTTTTGGCTCTATCTGTTGTCACCTCATCCCAGGCTAGTCACACACTTGGTCTTGTTATCTGTTTCTCAATCAATGATGACAACATCAGGTCTCGTACATCTGACATAAATGCCAGGGAAATGGTAAAATGGCACTCAGAAAATAGTTAAAGAGAGCCAGAAAGTCTCTAAAAATGGGTTTTATTCATTATACTCAGGTATCAACCTCTTCAAGCTCCTGTTCAAAACTTTGGCCTTCTCCAAAGCATTTCCTGATCAATCCCATGCCGGTTACTTCCTTATGATTTTGGCACCTTGGCATGCCACCCACACAATAGAGTTTCCTTTTGATGTTACTTTATAACACCATCTATGCAGCTGCTCAGTTAGAAACCTTTGTCCCGGCCCTGGCTCCTCTCCTTTCCTCCCTCTCGCCCATCTCCAGTGAGTGCTGAGTCTCATCAGTTCTCTCTCAGGTGTCCCGGGGCTCACAGCACTGCCCCAGTGGGTCCTCGTCACTTTAGAGTTTTGTTTTTAGGGTTTCTGTCTGTCTGTCTGTTTGTTTCAAGACAGGCTTTATCTATGTAATAGCCCTGGCTGTCCCAGAACTCACCTGTAGACCAGACTGGCCTGGAACTCACAGATACCTGCCTGCCTCTGCCTCCCACATGCTTGGGATCACAGGTGTGCACCACCACCGCCCAGCAGTCTTTATCACTTTTGACTTGCTACTCCGATTGCCTCCGTTCCATTCTTGGTGTGGTTTTATTCTTACTTATCTCAAGAGCCAGGAGCCAGAGAGCAGAGTGAGCCATTGCCAAAACTCACACCGCCTGTGCTTTGCTATGTGTGACCATGAGACTTTGGATGGTCGCCCCCAGTATTTTTTACTGACAGAAACTGACATTTCGTAGATTGGATTCCCAAGGAAGTTGGCCGCCTGTCAGCTAGGTTCTGCTTTATGAAGCCCTAAGTCTACACTTTTATTCTGAGTCAGTTACCAGGTGGTGGGGATTGCTGAATAAAACCACCGAGTTACAGACTAAAAATACCTAAAGGATTAGAAACACCTTACCTGTGGGCTAGTTCCTGGCTTCAAGTGAAAACCAAAAACAAGTTCAAGGTTCACAGTTTTTTCCTCATTTTCTTCAGGTTCCCCTCCTGAATCCTAAAATAGAAAAAGCAGATATTATTATTAGAGATGGTGCTTTTCGCTTTGATTTCTCATGTAAAGCAGGTACTTTTTACTCCCCCCCCCCCCCTGCCTTCTTACCTCTGCCACAGGGAAGAGCCCATCAGGCCCCAACTGCTCAGCCCACACACACTTCCTGGTTAGCCCCACTCCTGGTTCTGACTGTTACAGGGTCCCTAGCCCCGAAACCCCTGCCTACACGTTAGCAGTTCCCCTAGCTCCTGGTGCCAACAGGTTTTCCCATTCTGATCTTTTATTGAACTTTTATGATTAGATTAAGGTACCAGTTGTAACTACTGAGAACTTTGCTGGATGGCTTCTCTCATGCTCTTCTGAGCAGAGGGTGTGGCCCTCTGGATGCATCTGGCACTGTGCACTTCATGCTAGATGTGCAGACTGAGAGCTTCAGAGTATTATAGGTATTTATGCACTCTTTCCTGAGAGGAAATTTGCAGCATCCCAAGGGCTGAGAGATGGGAAGCCGTGACTATTGGTGAGCTAGTACAGTTCTGGGTATTAACTACAAACATTTGCTAATTTTATAATGAAGTGTGTCACATACCCCTAGGCTATATTAACAACTGTATGTTAATTACAGTAGTCCCTTTTTATTTATGGTTTTATTTCCCATGGTTTCAGTTACCTGCAGTCAACTCTGGTCCAAAACTGTTAAATAAAAGTTGTAGAAGTAAACGGTTCACAAGTTTTAAAATAACTTTTTAATAAGTAAACTGTTATACTTATTTTATTACTGGCTATTGTTATTCTCTCACTGTGCCCAGTTTATATATTAAACTCTATCACAGGCATGCTTGCACAGGAAAAGGCAGTATATATAAAGATTGGTGCTAATCTCAGTTTCAGGCATCTGCAGGGGTTGCTGGGATACATTCCCATGCACAAAGAAGGGTACTGCTATTTAGTGTTTTATTTAAATAACACTCCCAACCCCTTCACCCCCCAGGGTAAGTGGCAACCCAGAGCTCCTTTAGTAACTTAAAGGCCTCTAGAACCAGGCATGAGGCCAGAGGCCTTCACCTACAATGTTAGTGTGGGTACTATTATCTTGAATGTGTTGTTAATATTTCAAGGTGTGGGGAACAAATGTGTGTATTTTATATAGATCACAGTCATCAAAGGGTCTTTTGTTGGACAGATGTAATTAAATTTCACTTCAAACAACAGTTCCAGACATTAGAAAAGTTGGGTGTGGATGTACATGGCAGGTGCCTATGCCAATAAAAGTAGCTAGCTGTCAGTGAGGAAACCTCACTTACCTTAATTAGTGGGGGAAAGTGAAACAGGTTCAGGTAATCGTGGGTTAGCTTCTCAATAGCTGACTGTAAGGAGAAAATCAAGTGACCTAATTAATGCTTTGAAGATACCAAAGATGGTTAAAATTACTGAGCATACCAAATAAGAGACTCTTTATGTAGTTTATAGAATATCTTGGGGATATTAACATCTATCATTGGTTAAGCACATGCAGAGATGGTAGTTTGCCATCATTCAAAGGACAAGAGACTACTTTAGAGACAGATGGTAAACCACCATCCATCTAGCTCCTGGCCCCATAGGTAAGGCCTGCTAGGTTCCCTGGCCCTAAACTCCCTACTCACAGTTCTCCTGGTGCCAGCAGGTAAGCAGTCTCCAGACCACCAGGCCTGACGCCTACTTAACCAACTAATCCCAAATGGGCAAATCTGGGGGTGGGGAGGAGAGAAAAGAAAAGAAAGAAAAGAAACAAAACGAAAATCCAGGATAACATGTCTCCTCCAAAAATAGCTTACTGGGTAATAAGGGACCCCAGGGGGAACGATCTCAGAAGAGAATGATTACAACTATGCTCAGACAACTCAGGACAAAATCTAAGAGATGAATGAAATAGGAAGTCAATATAAGATATGAAAATATAATTCAATTAAGCAGATGAATGAGGAAAAGCCAAATTGAAATGATGTTGGATATGAAACACCCAATAAGCCAGATAGGGATGTTAAACCTCAGAGAAAGCAACTAACAGAGCTGTCCTTCAAACTTGAGCAGGGTGAGGCAAGTCAATGTCTGGTGCTTAGCGTATGTACAGCTGTCCTAGGGGAATTGGGAAAACAACTAGGCATAGCAGCAGACCAGCGAAGCCACCAGGAAGGCTGCAGCCTCAGCAGGAACCAGCAAGGAACACTAAGTGAGGACAGTTTAGATCAGTGGTTCTCAACATGCATGCTGGGACCCTTTATTTGGAGTGTGTGTGTGTGTGTGTGTGTGTGTGTGTGTGTGTGTGTGTGTGGTGTGATGACCCTTTCACAGGGATCACATATCAGATATCCTGCACATCAGATATTTACATTACAATTCATAATAGCAGCAAAATGACAGTTGTGAAGTAGCAATGAAGTAATCTCCTGGCTGGGGTCACCACAGCATGAGGAACTGTATCAAAGGTTCGCAGCAGTAGGAAGGTTGTGAACCACTGGTTTAGAGGACAAGGCTTGGAGGATTCGTCAGCCATCACTCAGCTTTCCTGGAAATGATCATGTACAGACTAACAATCCCAACCCAGGAAAACTAGATGATTTTTTTTTTCTATAGCAAAATGAAACCACCAACAATGTAAGGAACACTTATGGACACTTAGTTCTCTTTCAGACATGGTCTCCTTCCCCAGAGCCTCGGGTAGAAGGCTGCTGACAGGCTTGGGGTTGGGGAGGGGACAGGAAAATGATGGTGGCTACCCTGCACCAGCTTGCAGTCCTATTGCCTCCTCTTAGGTTGAGAGACTCAGAATACGCCATGACTGTGCCTTCCTTAGTGACAGAAGGAGGAAGGAGGACAGCCTCTCTCACGAGCCTCAGACAATTGTGGCAGAGACTAGGAGAGCACCTCTGGTATGGAGTGCCCATGGGCTTGCATTTCAAAGGCCTAGATCGAAGCCCATTCATGCCAATGGCCCCAAGAGTACACATTGGACCAGTAGAACAAGTTCCCACCACCTCTTCCTTCATCTCCCCATCTCAGGGAAATTTGTTTTCCTGAGTCAGGGTCTCACCCTGCCCGGTGCTTAGCTAGTAGGCTAGGTTGCTTGGCTCTGAAACCTCAGACACCTGCCCATCTCTGCTTCCTAGCACTGGGATTACACATGCATAGCACCATGCCTGGATTTTGCAGATTTTTACTCAGGTCCTGGGGACTGAACCCAGGTCCTAATGCTTGTATGGCAAGGACTTTACCTTCTGAGATATTTCCTCTGCCCTGTATTATTTTTTAATGGGGCGAAATTCACATACCATAAAAGTAGCCATTTCCAAGTGTTTCCCTCACAGGGTTATGCAACCTTTTCCTACCAGTGTGTTCCAAACTTTCCATCACCCCAAGGGACTATGGCACTCATTAAACAATCACTACCCTTCCCCTCCTTGTCCTACCCACTGGCAATCACCACCTATATTCCATTGGGATAATCTTTTTGTAAACTGTGTGATGTGTCTCTGTCCTTCCTCACTTGCCTAAGGCACCTTCTGATTGGCTTAATAAAAGCTGAATGGCCAATAGTTGAGCAAGAGAGGATAGGCAGGACTTCTGGGGGAAAGAGGAACTCTGGGAAAAAAATCTGAGATGGGGGATTCACCAGCTAGACACAGAGGAAGTCAGACATACAGTACTGAGAAGAGGTAACAAGCCACATGGTAAAATGTAGATTAATATAAGTGAGTTAATTTAAGATTTAAGTTTTTTTTTTTTTTTTTTTAAAGATGTATTTATTTATTATATACACAGTGTTCTGCCTGCAGGCTAGAGGCCAGAAGAGGGCACCAGATTTCACTATAGATGGTTGTAAGCCACCATGTGCTTGCTGGGAATTGAATTCAGGACCTCTGGAAGAACAGTCAGTACTCTTAACCTCTGTGCCATCTCTCCAGTCCCTGGTAATTTAAGTTTTAACAGCTAGCTGGGGCAGAGGCAGGCAGATCTCTGTGAGTTCAAGGCCAGCCTGGTTTACAAGAGCTAGTGCTAGGACAGCTTCTAAAACCACAGGGAAAACAAAACAAAAAACACCACTGTTTCCCGCCCCACCCCCAAAGAGCTAGTTGGGAACAAGCCTAGCTAAGGACAAGCTTTCACAATTAATAAAAAAGTCTCCGTGTGTCATTATTCAGGACCTGGTCCAAAGAAGGACTCATTATAATATTCTGTTTCTGTGGTTTGTTGTTCTGGATATGTTACTATATTTGAGTAGCTATCTGAAAAGTCAAACAAAAAGCTCTGGTTCCTGGGCAGCTGTTTCACTCATTAGTTAATTGATTAATTGAAATTATACAGGGCTTGGTGCAGAACTTGTGTATACTACTACCTCAGTGATGTACCACCAGCCCCAGCCCAGATCTGGGCTAAATTGTAGAAAGAATGGCAACAACAATGGAAACAGGGTTTGTCTGAAACTTTTCAGGATTAATGGTTGGGGGGATGTTAGGATTTCTGATGCTACTTCAGGCTTCAGAGGCGCACACAGCAACTTTGGCATGACCAAGACTGTGCATGTCCTGTGACTTAACTGGTGGCAGTCGCTTTGAGTTCACTTGGGCTGTGCACAAGTTCCAGGCTCCTGCAGGATTTCTCACGAATGTCTAGACCCTCCAGCTTTAAGTGGGCTAAATGGCCTCCCGCTAGTCCTGGGTATGGTAGCCACGCTCTAGGTGTGACCCTGTCTTAGTTGCAGTCCTCGGGGACCCATTAAGCTTCCTCCTGCCCCAGGCCTTTCCTCTGGCTGTGTTTTGCCCTCACACACCTCCAGTGCAATTCCTTCACCTGCCTAATGTTCCTTCCAGAAGCTGGCCCTCAGCCCAGCATCTTCCTCTGTGGCATCTCTCACAGGTGTTTCCTCCCTAGACTAGAGGCTTCCTGGCAGTACAGAGGTATTACACCATTCATTGTATCAAGGTAACTTCTGTGGGGTTTTGAGGTTGGAATGGGGTGGCACAGGTGTGGAAACTACTTAGGGACAAGCCTGGAGGTATTTCAGCACCGAATGCCCTACACTGTGATGCTGTCATCTCTATCTGCCCACACATGGCCCACCATACTGCACACGCTCAGTTGATTTATTGACACTCGCCCGCCAGGTACCTTAAAATGGATGATGTGTCCCTTGGAGACAATGCCCATGTCTTTCAAATCTTCCTCATCCAGAAGCAGCAACCGCTTGCCTGTGATGTTGTTTTCCTTAAACAAGGTTGCATACCCACTCATCTCTACTGAAGAGTCACCTGGCGGAGACGTGCAGAAGGCAGGGAGTGAGGATAAATCATAGCCCGACAAAGTTAACTCTGTAAATACGAAGGTAATTTGCTTCACTTGCCTTTTCTGACGAGCTGCTGAACCCAAAAATACTGCGAAGAGAGGACACACATGGTTCGGGAGGGTCACATACAGGCAGTAGCCATTCTCAACAAGAAAACAGTTCCCAATAGATTCAGATGTCTCTAACTTAGCCACAAGGGGAAGATGAAAGAGTTCTCTCTGGAGGTTTAAAGCCTCAAGCTCTCAAATTGAAGATAGACATTTTTCCCGTAGTGGGCACGGGGCAGTGGAGAGACTTTCTTGGGCCAGAGCTTATGTCTTTCCTAGAGGAGCTCCTATAGTACTTTTCCACTACACGTGCTGGTAGCTGCCATACTTATTTCAGTATCTGTAAGAGTATCAAGGACCACACAGCAGTGGACAGAGAGATGGACAGAATGAGGACCCCCATTAGCCTGTTCAGCCATGGCAGCCATTTGGGGGCCATGTAAAAGATGGTCAAGTGAGGTGGTTACACCCTAGGGGTCCCTTGTTCTTGTATATCATTTGACATCTGTTTACAGGTAGCCTAACATTACCTTGGAGAAGACACACACAGAAGAGGCCAGACTCAGTCACTTTGGTTCCCTGGGTCCCTTAACAAGGCGCTTTTAGCTGAATGGCACAGGAGTCACTTAATCTTGTAGCAAAGACTAAAAACAGCTCCTAGAATTCAGTTCTTTTAAATCAATTTCCTTTCAAAGGAGATGGGCCACCCTCGTAGCTGGGGAGGAAGCTATTATATCCAAGGCCAGGGCTTGCAGGCTCAGCTTCTAGTGTTCAGGGAATGGGAAGAAACAGGAAGCTAGAGCCTGACTACTCTGTGGGGCCCATGCAGCTGCCTAAAGCAGAAGGAAGCTCACTTCATAAAAATACAAAGGGCAGAGGGGACATGCTCCTGCCCCACACCAGGCTGAGGTCTAGAACAGGTCTCCTGGAATTCCTAATCAGGACTTTTCTTTGAGATGCATGGGGTGTCTCTCTCCCTAGGGTGGAGCCCATCCTTGCTAGGGCTAGCTAGCATTTCATCTTCATTTTCTTCTTCATTTAATGATGCCCTTGAGCTTGTAAAATGGACCTGGACAGGCACGGGTCCCCGAAGTCTCTCATCAGTAGTTCTCAAAATTGTTTTGCCATTAAGGAAGCAGATATGGAGAAAGAACTGGCTACCTGGGATTGCTCCTCAGGGAGTCTACCCAGAGCTGCATGGAGCCTTGCTGTGGACTTAAGTACCCTGCCTCCTGGGATGTAAGATTATGGGGTGCACTCTGTCCATTCCTCCTGGGGAAGGCCAGAGTGAGGAAGGCAGTTAGGCATCGCCAGTTAATGAGCAGGCCTGAGGTGGGAGGGGGACCTGTGCAGGAAATGCCAGCCCATCATGGTCTCTCTCCTCCATGCTCAAGTCTACTGCTGGCACTGTAGGAAAGTTTAAGAATTGAATTTTTTCAAGTATGTGTATTTGGCATCCTGAATCGTAGCTTTTAACTTGCTATTGCTATTGGTATTACTATATTCTAGAATATATATATATATATATATACATATATATACGTACACATATATAGTATGTATGTATATATATGTTATAATGTACATGGAGTATATGTGTGTGTATATATGTATATATGTATATATGTATATATATATTATATAATACAGTATAACTTTTATCGTGCCATTGGTATTACTATATTCTGGGGTATTTTCCCAGCCAGTAAGGAAGCTTGAACCCTCATAAGATTTGAAGAGCTAGTTGCTTTTGCTATTGAGTCCCTATTTTCAATCACTCTTATATTATTTATTTAAGCAAAATGAGGAGTTTGTTAACTTCTGCTGGTGAGACCCAGCTCTCTTTAACTGCCTTACCAAACTTGAGGCCAAATTTGCTGGCTTCCTGTCCAGATCTATGAGGCATTAACAGAATCAGCTTACCACATCGTCTTCAGTCCATGTACTGATCTCAAAGGAAGGCAGCAGCTGCGTGGGAGATATGAAGGAAATGAAAAAAGGAAGCAATATTATCCTAGTCTTTTTGGTCTGTCTTCTCGTCTCAGCTTTCCTGCTGCTCTGGCTTCCTCTGGAGGGTTAGGTTGAGAGGAAGACAGTTTCCTCAGCCTTCTGAGGAGGCTCTCCGTGTCCAAGGATGCTGAGCCCCACAGCCAATTTGTAAATCAATTCTTGGCAACAATCCACTCTACCTTACTAGCTGCTTTAAGGGGGACTTGGTACAATTTGGTGTTGTCTTCTTTGGCGTGGGGCATGGCAGGTAGGACTGGATGAATACCCCACAGCAGGGCCTTGGAACCATGGCCTGTCCGACACTCACAAGCTACCAGAGCAGCCTTAGCCAGTAGTAGGATAATAGGATAATTTACCATCGGAAATTCCAAAACAACCATAAATAGCCAGGTGACTTATTTTGCCTGTCCTCACAGGGTTCCTGGGGCTTAAACAAACATCCCCGTTCCATGAATGAAGCAGGATGTGGGAGGCTGGAACTGTCCTAAGGCTTGGAGTTGCTCTACCAGACGGAAACATGTCAAGGACACATATGGAATGGGGACTTGCAGAGCACTTCAGCCTATGCCAGAGATCTTTTCACATCAGTGCATCCCATGGCTACAGGCTAAATAGCAAATACTTTCATAACTGGAAAAGACCCGTGCCCTATGGGCTACAGTGTGGTATAGCCAATAGCTTCAACTAGATTGACTTATCAGGATGCTTGTTCATAATTCATGAAAGAATATGCCAAAGTATCACCCAAACTCTGTTACAGTCTTTTTTTTTTTTTTTGTGTGTGTGTGTGTGTAAGCAAACTGGGAAAGAGAATTTGATGGGGGTGGATATAATCTAAACACTTTGCATACATGTATGAAATTTTCAAAGAACAGTAAAAACAAAGAAAAGGGGAAAAAGTTGAATTTAGTTCCTTTTACTGCTAGTGTGACAATCTGATGGTGGCTAAGTTAATCTTTCCAACTTAGAGATATTTATTGAATAACCATAAGCTCAAACTACTAGGAAAGGCATAGTCCCTATACAGAATTTTACTAGAACTGAGCGAAGCATCTGTGGATTATATTTGTGGGAGGCCCATTTTTTCATTTTTTTTTTGTTACTAATGCACAATACTCGGTACATTGGCATGTACACATAAGTATTTGTATGTGTATGAGCACATGCATGTATGTATATGAGGGCCAAAGGACAACCTCGGGTGTCATTCCTCAAATACTACTCACTGGCTTAGAGCTCACTAATTAGGCTGGGCTGACTGACCGGTGAGCACCAGAGACCTATCTACCTCTCTGCCCCTGGCACTGGGATAGAAGGTCATGCCACAACAGCTGGCTTTTTATGTATATCCTGGGACTTAGACGCAGGTCCTCATATATACAAAGCAAGCATTTTACCAACCAAGTTCTCTCTCTAGCCTCCTGTGTAATTATTATGGTACTATCTTATGGAATGAATAAAATTACAGAATGAAGGATGCATATATTTAGTTGCCAAATTATTTGGTAGTCTGCTTAGTGTTGATAGGCATCCAAAGACCAATGTACCACAGCATATGACAGGGGAATGGAAGGCAAATGGCTTGAGCTGGGGATGACAGGCCCTGGGGAGAAGAAAAGGCAAGGAAGAACAAGTAGGTAAGATACTGGCCACGGGGATGGAGTGGGTGTGACATGCCCACTTAATTGGAGCATAGGATGCAGTGAAATTGTGTTGGAGGAAAAAGAGAAAGAAGCCAATTCTGGGTGTAGCAGAGCAGGTTTTATTATTTTAAACATGAATGTGCAGACTCTGGGTACTACATCTAGGTTGCAAGGACACACAGCATAGGCTCGAGTCAGTAATATTCTTCACAAACTTTCTACACACGCTATGAAGGAGTCACCCAGCATGCTCACTGTAATGGTGTGGATGAGGGGACTCAAGGAGGCTCATCTGAAGTTGATCTCAATCAAAGAAAATACATGACAAGCTTTACATCTTCCCGGGACAGCTGCATACAGCTGGAGCTGGAGAAACATGTCACCCCTTTTGTCCACCACGGATACAAACGTGAAGTAAGAGACATCGAAATCCCATATAGAAGTATTGCCCTGCACTAAGGCTGGTCTTTATCTCTACATGTGTGGATGTGATGGTGTGTGTGTGGTGCTTTGACTTTTACATACTTTCCATATGTGCTAAGAAAACTGAGGAATAAGCATTTCTTGAATAAAGATCATAAGTGAAATAAGCAACATCTTCAGTTTTCATGTGGGAAGGGCGCTGGAGTTCTTGCCGCTCTACGGCTGGCTCATCAATGTTATGCCACAGGAAAGACCTGAGCCTTGCCTGGTGCTCCCTCCAGCAGGAGTCTGCAGATGCTTACAAAGATCAGTGAGATGAGGGCTGCGACCAGGCGCTGCTGCAAGATGGTTTGAATTTGGCAAGACAGGGGCTAAGAGTTAATGATCTCCAGCCACACAGAGGCTCACCATTGCCTTCATGGTTTCTGTACTTTGTTAGCATATCAGTGCATCTGCAGTAGATGAGTTCTAAGCCTTTCTGTTTTCTTTGGGGATAAAAAAAAAAAAAAAAAATCCCTCATGACTGCCCCATCACTTTAGTAATTCATTATTTATACTCCAACAGACTTCAGAAGAGGAAAGCTAGCACTCATGCGCGCGTGTGTGACACTGATTTCTTCAAAGGATGTTAGGAATCCAATCTAACAAAGATCTTATGTACACAGCGACACATAACAAAGGGGTTTACTGTCAAAACGTTTATTGCAAAATGGAGTCTTAGAACAAAGGAAAGCAGAGAAAAGTTCACATCAGAATGAAATGTATGACACCAACTTGGATTTCTGAATACATCGTGGACTCCATGCTGGAATATCAAATTCCAACTATGCAGTCGGCAACTAAACAGTCTTACCACACAGGAGCGCAGTTTAATCTTTCCATACAAACATTATACATGGCATTTGGCATAAGACTTGCTCAAAATAACATTGCAGTATACTGAGTGAAGGGGAGAGGACTATTCTGAAAACACAGTGATGATGCCACCTATTAAAAGCCTACACTCAAACGACAGAAATGTTTCCTAGTAGCAGTTTTTTTAGAGTGCAAAAGCAGTGAGTGTGTCACGTCAGAATTAAGAGTATTTGCACTCGCTAGAAACAGTTGGGTCAGTGCCTGAATTCTAGTTTGAAATAACTAACTGCATGCCAGAAAGTTCCTCACACAAGCAACAGAGTGCCCACAAGGTTGGGGGCTGAGAAAACACAGCCTGTCCCCGATTTCCTGATAGACATTCATTTTTTAATCACAGAAGGCTGTACCTAGAGCTGTCTGTCAGGCTACTCTACCTGTGGCGGGATGGAGAGCCTCTGCGACAGTGACTATAGTCTACACAGGAAAATGGTCTTTCTCAAAAGCAGCAGACGGTGCCTGATTATAGAAAGATTCATGCTCTACTGTGTGTCTGTGGTATATTGGGACTCGACTGGTTTCCCCAGGCTGCCCAAGTCTAGTGTGACAAAATCGTCTTTAAAGTATCATCAATATTTAACTCACTGGGTTTTAAAACCATCTTTCACAAAATGCTTAGCACTCTAATGAAAACTGGAGTTATATACACACATGGTAACTTGAAGCGAAGTGGCTCTGGGTCTCTCCTTTGATTTTGATTTTAATGGAGGATCAAGTGTGAGTACCTCAGATGGTGTTAAAATCTAAACAAATTCACTGCTTTTGTTGTTGTTGTTGTTACTGGTTAAAGAACAAAAACAAATCCAAAACAATCCTCAATGTTTTCAGGCCATCAAAAGAAGTGTGCCATATGCTTTCAATCTTATCTCATTGGCGATTTGTGAAACAATAAAAATGTGATTTTGCTTTAAAAAAAAAAAAAAAGATTAGGAAAAATTCCCTTTAAGTAACTGCAGAATGATGGCCTCTCCACCAGGGCTGTCCTATTGTGGAGTCATCTTAACAGGTCAGTGCCCCTCCCCCAGGTGGATGCAGTTATTTCCTACCGGCAACCATGTGGGGCAGGGAGAAGAAATCTTTTCCACAAACAGGGTTCTGAGGAAACACTACAACTTCCTAACATGCAGAAGGTGCCATTATCGCTTTGAAAAGGCTTGGGTAATTTTGTTTGGGGGAAACTAGAGTTGGAATAGCAGAAGTGTATGACTTAACAAACCACAGTGGGGGCAGGACAATGTTGTGTGGATTTTGCAAGACGGGACTGTCCCTGGTAAGCAGGATGCCACCAGGCTAGGCAGTAAGCTGGCTGGTCAAGGTGTCAATTCCTCTCAGCTGAGTGCTACAGTTGGTGTCCTCCATGCTTAGAGAAAGGTAAAAGGTGAGGCATTCAGTTGTCTGACTGACAATTGTCACCACAATCTAGAGTTCTAATTCTGGTTCTGAACCTTTACATTTTTTGGGGGACTTCTTTAAATTCTGAATTGTTCCTTTGTAAGTCATGTCATTGGAATAACATTGAATACTGATAGTTTGTCATTTCCAAAACTTGACCTGAGAAGTGAGTTAGACCCACATTAACATCATTAGAAATTCTTCATGTGGCCAATAGACATTTCTTTTTATAAAATTAATTGAATCTAAAGCTTTCTAGTGATGTTTACAGGTGATGTGTGAATTCCATAGGATCCTGTTTATATGAGTCAGATTTCAGGTATGTTTGAGTATTTCCTCCCCTCTGAGACAGTTTCTCTGTGTAACAGCTCTGGCTGTCCTAGAATTCACTTTATAGACCAGACTGGCCTTGAACTCACAGAGATCCTCCTATCTCTGTCTCCTGAGTTGCTGGGATTAAAGCCGTGCTCTACTACATCTGGCTGTTTGAATATTTCTAAGCCACTAGCTGAAGACTGATTTGGAGCAGAAATAAAATAGCCAATAGTGTATTATGTAGTTCCAGACAGAGTGTTTGGAAACTCTTCA